TATCGCGTGTGGGGGGGGGGGTTCATGCATATGGTCTCGAATACAGAGAGTGTTCGCGTTGCCGAATTTAGGGTCGGTATGCTTCTCAGAAACCTTGTCAGTTGGTGATATCTAAAGCGTAGGAGCATATTGTGTGGGGTATTCGGGACCAGAGTGGTCAGGGGCGTGATTGTGCCTTGGTCATAGACGTCCTTCACTCTGCAGGGGGTCGGCAGGCCCAGGGCAGCCGTGTAGTGGGGGTCCGATGCAGGGGCAAATTTCGGGTTGTGAGATATGGGGCATAATGGTGAGAGCTCCGGGGCTACGTCTGTGTGAGTCGCCAGTCTCCTCCAAACTGCCATTGTAGCGTTTAGGGTTGGGTGGTTCCGTGGCAGTTCCCCGGCCATGGATTTCGGTAGCCAGGGTAGAAGTGTCAGGGGTATCCGTGAGAAGCTGGCCTCTATGGGGATCCATAGCTTGTCTTTCGGGTCTTGTGTCCATTCTATCACTCGCTGGAGGTGTATAGCATGTCTATATTTTGTGATATCGGGTAGTCCCAGGCCTCCCTGTAGTTTGGGTCTGGTGAGAGTGGCGAAATTCAGCCTCGGCGTTTTGCGGGCCCAGACGTAGGCCATCAGTGTTTTACGGGTTTGTGTTAGGAAGGTTTTGGGAATGTGGATTGGTAGGGTTTGTAGGAGATACAAGATTCGGGGGAGGATATTCATTTTGAGGACACTGATCCTACCCAGCCACGTTATGTGCGGGAGTTGCCACAAGTCGAGGTCCTTCTGTATGCGGTCGAGGAGGGGTGGGAAGTTGATGCGGTAGGTGTCCGACACATCAGCCGACAGCCAGATCCCTAAGTATTTAATCCTTTCTTTGCACCAGTGAAAAGGGAACTCTGTTTGCAGTGTAGTTGTTAGTGCTAGGGGGCAGTTTACGTTGAGAATTTCAGATTTCGTAAAGTTAATTTTCAAGTTGGAGAGGGTGCCATATAGGTCAAATTGGTGCGTGAGCTCCCTAAGTGAGGTTGCCGGGTTGGTGATTGTGAAGAGGAGGTCGTCCGCGTATGCAGAGACCTTGGTGGCTCCCCAGCTACCCTCGATTCCAGTTATGCGGGGTTGGGCTCGAACTGCATTGAGGAATGGTTCTAAGCTGATGGCAAAGAGTAGGGGCGATAGGGGACACCCTTGTCTAGTGCCGTTTCTGATCTCAAATGGGTCGGAGAGAATCCCATTAACCTGCACCCGGGCTGCTGGAGCGGTGTATAGGGCCCAAATGCGCGTCATCATGTGGGGTCCCAGTCCCAGGTGTTCCAGGGTGGACCTCAGGAAAGACCAGTCTACCCTGTCGAACGCCTTCTCCGCGTCGGTCGAGACTATCAGGGCGGGGGAGTGTCCTTCTCGGGCCGCGTGGAGAAGATTGAGTGTCTTGATAGTGTTGTCCCTGGCCTCCCGGCCCTCCACAAAGCCCACCTGATCAGGGTGGATAAGGCTCGGCATCAGGGGCTGGAGGCGCAGGGATAGTATTTTGGCAAACAGTTTGAGGTCGGCGTTCAACAGGGAGATCGGCCTGTAACTGGTACATGAGGAGGGGTCTTTTCCTTCTTTCGGGAGTACTACGACGTGTGCTAGGAGCATGTTGGGGTCTAAGGGGTCTCCGTTATGTATTGAGTTGAATAGTGTAAGTAGGTGTGGGACAAGGTTGTCTGCGAACATTTTGTAGTACTTTGCCGTGTATCCATCTGGTCCGGGGCTTTTCCCCAGTTTGGCCAGTTTGATGGCTAGGCGTATCTCCGCTTCAGTGATATCTTCTTCTAGTGTAGCTATTTCTTGGGGTGTCAGCGTTGTGGTGATATTCTGTTCGATATATGTTTTTTGCCACGCTGTGTGAGCCTCTTCTCCTTCGTGTGCGCGTGTGGTGTTGGGAGGTAGGCAGTATAGGGAGGAGTAGTATTGTCTGAAGCCCTCTGCTATAGCCTTCGGGGTCCGCAGTGTGTTTCCTGCCAGGGAGATCTTTTGAACATGGGTTTTCTGTCTCCGGGCTCTCAGCGCCCTAGCGAGCAGTTTACCACTTTTGTTTCCGTATTCATAAAACGTTTTTTGTGTGAGTTGGAACTGGAATTGTATTTTGGACGTGAGGCAGGAGTTGAGTTTCGCTCTGGTCTCTAGGAGTTGTTTGTAGGTTTCGTCTCGGAGGTCTTGTTTGTGAAGCGTTTCTAGACGCGCCAGTTGGGCAGCAAGGCGTGCTATTTCCTGTGTGCGTTGTTTTTTCAGGCGAGTGCCGTGTTTGATGAGGATCCCTCGGATAGTGCATTTGTGTGCTTCCCAGACGGTCGTTGGTGCGCTTTCTGTTGTTTGATTGGTGGGAAAGAAGTGGTCTAGTGTGTTCCTAATTTCTGTTTGGATCAGTGGGTCCTCTAAGAGTGATTCATTAAGTTTCCATGTCCATTGGGATCGAAAGGTTCTAGGATTGTCGATGGTGAGTGTTACTGGTGCGTGGTCCGACCAGGTCATGGGGGCGATGTGGGCTGAACACAGTGTGTCTAGATCCCTGTGTTGGATGAAGAAGTAGTCAATCCTCGAGTATGATTTATGTGGCGCTGAATAATAGGTGTAGTCTTTCTCTGTATGGTGTAGGATTCGCCAGCAGTCTACAAGTTGGTGAGTTGTCAAAAGGGTCCGCAGTCCTCTGAGGACGTGGTCCGGGATCGTGGAGCCCCCTTTAGATGTGTCCATTTTGGGGTCTAGAGGGGCGTTGAGGTCCCCTCCTATTATTACGGTTCCTGCACTGAACGCTTCCAATTTTCTCAGGGCTGAGGCTAGGAATGATTTTTGGCCTTTGTTTGGGAGGTAGAGGTTCGCGAGTGTGATTTGAGCGTCCCCTATGTGTCCTTTGAGAAAAAGGTATCTGCCTTCTCGGTCTTTCTCTTCTGCTTCCAGGCGGAACTGGGTGTCTGCCGAGAATAATATAGCCACTCCCTTGGATTTGGTGGAGGGGTTATGCGCGTAGTAGCCGGTTGGGAAGTATTTATCTGAGAATTTGGGGGCTTTTGTTGCTAGAAAGTGTGTTTCTTGGAAGAAAGCTATTGATATCTTAAGTGCTCGAATTTCTCGCAGCGCTCTTGCTCGTTTTTGTGGGGAGTTCAGGCCCTTCACGTTGATTGTGTAGAGGTTAATTCCTATCTCTGCGTGCCCGGGGGTGTGGGGGGCGAGAGGCGGTGGGCCCATCGTATCCAGGTGGCGGGGTGTGGAGTAGGGGAGGAAAAGGGGGGGGGAGATGGAAGGGGAGGTTAGATGGGTTTGAGGGGGTAGTTCAAGCGGTGTGGTGTGTAGCGGTTGTGTCGAGTCGCAGAGGCGACTGTTGTAAGGGGTAATGTGCCACTGGTAGGTGTGTGTCCGGGAACCAAGGTCCTCGTAGTCACCTCACAGTCTCTTGGCAGTGAACCCGTGGGGCAGGTGGCGTCGGTGGTTAGGTAGGTCACCTACTTTGGGGTGTCGTCTAGTGACGTATCACTGTCTGTCAGCATCCGTCTCCTGCTGCCTAATAGTGGTGGTGTCTGGCATCCAGAGGGGTAGTACCGTTCTAGCGGATCAGTTAACAACAATGTGGATGGTCGTGATGGTCGCCCCTGGGCGTTATCTTGTTATCGTTGCGCTATTGTGTCGGGAGCGTGCATACGGATATAAGAACAGTATTCGTGAGAACAACATAATAACAGCATATCAAAACATGGTTACACAAATTATATCCCAGTATCAGGGAGAACATCAGAAACTTTTATGAACATTTAAAGATGGTTTGGGTGTGTTCGCACAGCACAGGGGGCCCCTCATGGAATAGAATGAGGTTTGCACCCCGTGGTGCGCCGTCACCCCACACCTTTTATATAACAGGGTAGGAGGAGGAGGGCAAAAAGTAAGGGGGGGGAGGGGGGGAAGGGGTTCAGGAAAACAAAAAAAAAAACACACCCCCAACAATACACTCAATACACTTTGTTGGAACCAGTGAGCGCAGGTGTCTCCGTCGCCCGGTGGGAACCTCTCGGTTGTTCACAGGGGGCGAGGCAGAGTCGCTCTCAACAGTAATTCGGATGTACACAATTATGAGTCTGCTTGAGGAACACGGAGCATTCATCTTACGGTATGTAGTGGTTGGTGAGTGATGCGTTCCCCCCTTCTAGCGTGTTCGTGGTGTCTGAGGTGTGTTTCTGTTGGACGCCTCAGAGGTGCGTTTGATACCTGGTTGCCTGTGTTGCAGGTATGGTCTGTGTGTATGTCTGCGGTTTGATTAGATAGTGAGGGTGTCTGGGTGCATCTTGGGTGTATTTGGGGGGGTTCCCTTCCTGGTGTAGCGGATGTGTGTGTGTATGTGTGTGTGGGTGAGTGTTAGTGTCAAGGTGTGTAAGCTAGCCCGCAAGGTATACTTGCACTTGCGATTCGTTCTACGGTGGTGGAAGCCGTGGCCAGCAGTCCAGGGTGATGCCAGGGTGTCAGTTCAAGGCATCATGTCAGTGGTCGTCTCTATAGGGTGTTTGGAGCTTGGCGGGTGTGGGTCTATGTCCCGCATTGTGGGGCAAAGGAGTCTTGTGTGGAGCCGGCCAAGATATTGGTGCACTGGCGAGTCCTCTGGGGTTGTCTCTGTTGAGTTAGTAGCGTTCTTGGTGGTGTTGAGCAAGTCATGGACTCGGGGGGCAATAGATGTAGGCCCAGTTAGCCGGTGAAGCAAGGTGGTTCTAGGCCTTTGGGACGGTGAGATGTGGGTGGGTTACCGTTTTTGGTGGTGTCTTGGCGGCGGTGAGTCGCAATCTGCTTTCTCCCTTTGCTTTCCTGGTTGCAGAGTGATAGAGAAAGAGAAAAAAAAAAAAGGAAAAAAGGGGGGGAGTAGGTGTCTCTGGAGGTGCCGTATCCCTCCTGCTCCCCTCAGCGTGGTCGTTAATGCGTTGCACGGTCGTGGTCAGGCTGGTGGTGCAGGGTGGGTGGCGGGGGGGGGTGTAGGCAGGTGGTGGTGTCTCCATCTCGTTATTCCTCAGGGTCAATTAGTCGGTGATGGGTGCGCGGGGCGTCCCTGTCGGGCCCCTGGTGGATGGTACGTTGTGTTGGCCTCCCTGTGAGGCGTTCATTAAGCGGGCATGCAGTCCAGTCCGAAATAGGGGTGCGAGGGAGGTTTAGAGCCTCCTGGAAGGCCAGTACATCTTGCGGCGTGCGAATTACTGCTTCTGTGGTGCCCTGTCTGGCTGAGAGGGCGAAAGGAAATTGCCATCTGTAGCGGATTTGGGCGTCTTGCAGGGCGGCGGTGAGGGGCCGCAAGGCTCTTCGGGCCTGTAGGGTGAGGTGGGATAGGTCATTGTAAAGTTCTATCGCCTGTCCCTCTATTCTCCAGGTTCTTTCTGTGCGTGCTTTTCTCATAATTTCTTCCTTTAGTTGGAAGTCTGGTATGTGGCAAATTAAGTCCCTGGGGGGAGCACCCGGGGGGGGCTTGGATCTTAGTGCCCTGTGTGCCCTGTCCATGTGGATGCGGGCGTCCCTGGGTCTGCCCAGTATGCGATTAAAAATCGGGGTCAGCGTGGCCCTGGCGTCTTCTGTTGTGTCAGATTCTCTGCAGCCTCTTACCCTGATGTTATGCCTGCGGCTGCGGTTATCAAGGTCCTCTATGTGGAGGCGCAGATCTTGTATGTGCCTGGAGTGGGCCTCTGTAGCTTGTATAGCAGGGCAGTGTGGGTTGGGGCCCTGTGTCTCTAGTGCCTGTACCCTTGTCTCAAGCGCTGTGAGTGAGGTGCCTAGGGCTGAGATCTCTGTGCGCAGGGTGGCTTTTACCTCATCCAGTAGTGTCTGGAAGTCCTCCTTTTTCGGCAGGGACGTGAACAGTGTGTACCAGTCTGGTGTCTGTGGGGCTTGCCGGCTGCTGTCAGTGCGCGGGTATTCCTCCGACAGCGTGGAGCTCGGGGAGGAGGGCGCCATGTTGGAGGCCTCCTCCTGGGAGAGGAAATCCCCTGGTGTGTGGAGGTAGCTGCGGATGGAGGGGTGCGAGCCGGTCCCCTGTGTTCTCGGCGTGGAGGGGGTCATCTGGGCTCTCTTGGTACGTCCCATGGGTGCCAGGTCGTGCTAGTGCGGTGTGTTGTTTGCGGCTGGGAGCGGAGCTCGGGAATTAGGCGGCCATTCCTGTTCGGCGCCAAGCCACGCCCGGGCACTTTTTTTAAAGAGATAAAATGGGACATTTTTGTGAAGCGGTCCACAACGACAAGGATAGTGGTGAAATGTTGAGAAGGTGGGAGATCCACCAAAAAATCCATAGAAATGGATTGCCAAGGTTTTTCTGGAATAGGTAAATTAAGTAGTAATCCAAAAGGTTGATGATGTTCAGGTTTGGACCTTTGACAGATAGGGCAGGTCTTGACATATAATTCAATAGTTTTATCCTGGCGAGGCCACCAATAATATCGTGAAGTTAATTCAAGAGTTTTCTTGATCCCAGGATGTCCAGCTAGGGGAGAATCATGAACCATTTTAAGTAATTTATTCCTGAAAATGGGAGGAATATAAATTCTATCTTTAAAATAAAATATGCCATCCTTTTTTGTTAACATAGGTGTATTGGGAAGTTCAAGATCTTTTTGATTCAAATTCTTTATGTCATCATAAAGAGAGGAAAGGATTCCAATTGTTTTGTTAGGAGGGTAATCATCAATAGTAGTTTTATGAGGAATTCTAGAACGAGCGTCAGCCTTTTTATTTCTAGTTCCAGGTCTGTATACTAATTGGAAGTTAAATCAGTTAAAAAAAAGGTTCCATCTAACTTGTCTAGCTGAAAGGGTTTTGTTAGTATAGAGATATTCAAGATTTTTATGATCTGTATAAACCACTATAGGGTGTTTTGTATCTTCAAGAAGATGACGCCAATTTTCAAAGGCAGCTTTAACACTTAACAATTCTTTTTCACCAATAGGATAATTTTTTTTCAGCGGAGCTCAAGGATCTTGAAAAGAAAGCAACTGGATGGAGCGGATCCTGAGGTGTTTTTTGTTGAGAAAGTACTGCTCCGATAGCTGTATCTGATGCATCTACTTCAAGAACATTTAAGAATGTTGGATTAGGCAGTTGAAGAATGGGGGCAGTTGTAAATCTTCTTTTTAATTCGTTGAAGGCTGTTTGTGCATTTTCATTCCAATTAAAAAGACGCTTACTACTGTTAAGGAGATTAAGTGGATGCGATATATCTGAGTAATTTCTAATAAATTTTCTATAGAAATTTGCAAATCCAAGAAATCATTGCAACTCTTTTGTACTAGTAGGGACGGGCCAGTTAATAATACATTCAATTTTGGAATTATCCATCTTCAAGGAATGAGGTGAAATAATATATCCTAGAAAAGAGAATTCAGTAACCTCAAAAAGGCATTTCTCGGGTTTAGCGTATAATTTGTGTGTTCTCAATCTAGATAGAACCCATCTTACATGCTTCCTATGTTCGTCCAGATTGTTAGAATATATTAAGATATCATCTAAATAGATAATAACACATACATCCAAGAGATCTCTAAAGATATCATTTATAAAATGTTGAAATGTTGCGGGGGCATTACAGAGCCCAAAAGGCATCACAAGATATTCGTAGAGACCATATCTTGTCCGGAAAGCGGTCTTCCATTCATCATCCTGTTTTATTCTAATGAGGTTATATGCGCCACGAAGGTCTAGTTTAGTGAATATAGTTGCGGTTCTCAACCTTTCAATTAATTCATTTATTAGAGGAAGAGGATAACGATTTTTAATCGTTATTTTGTTTAAGGCTCTGTAATCTATAATGGGTCGGATGGTTTGGTCTTTATTTCTCACAAAGAAAATACTAGAAGCAGCTGGGGAGGTCGAGGGTCTGATGAACCCTTTGCGTAAATTTTCATTGAGGTATTCTTTTAAGGTTTCTAACTCTTTTTCAGAGAGTGGATAAATATGGCCATAAGGAATAGGAGCTCCGGGTATGAGATCTATTGGGCAGTCATATACCCGATGAGGTGGAAGTGTTTCGGCTTCTTTTTTACAAAAGACATCTGCGAAATCTGAGTAGAATGGAGGTATAACTGGTTCTTTAGTGATTTGGAGAATGGGAATATGTTGTAAGCATGTTCTTTTACAAAAATCAGAGGAGAAAGAAATGGTGAAGGGGGACCATTTAATTAACGGATTATGGGTTTTTAACCAATTAATTCCTAGAATGACGGGATAAAGTGGAGATTTAATAACATCAAATGTAAGGAATTCGGAATGAACGTTGTTGGTAATCATTCTTAGAGGAATTGTCTCATCTTTTATGGGTCCTGAGGATATAAATGAACCATCAATAACTCTGATTGGAACAAAATTAGTTTTTCGAACACAAGGAATTTTATTTTTTGTAACAAAGGAAAAATCAAGGAAGGCTCCATTAGCACCGGAATCAATTATGGCCTCAGTCATAATTCTTTTTGTGTCCCACTGTAATATGAGAGATATAGAAAAATAAGTAGATTTTTTTTTTTTTGTAGGACGTTCAATATAGAAGTAGATGAATGATGCTTACCACCTTTTGAATGTTTCAGTAGAGGACATTCGGGAATTAGATGTTCTTTTGAGGCACAATACATACATAGGTTTAGTTGTCTCCTTCTTGTTCTTTCTTCAGAAGTAAGAGGACTTCTTATTATACCTACTTCCATAGGTTCAGTTTGAGGAGGAATTTTTTCAGGCAATTTTGGAGGAGTGAATGGTTTTCTCCAAGTAGAATTAGTAAGAACTTTTTCAGCCCTTCTTTCTCTTAGACGTCTATCAATACTAATGGAAAGTTGAATCAATGCATTTAAGGTAGGAGGGAGTTCGGTACGGGAGAGTTCATCTTTCACAGCCTCGGATAATCCGAGACGGAATTGATTGCGTAAAGTAATGTTGTTCCATTGGGTTTCTGTAGCCCATCTTTTAAATTCTGCAATATAATCTTCAACAGGTCTATTCTTTTGGTGTAGAGTTCTGATGGTTAAATCAGCAGTAGTTTGTTTATAAGGATCTTCATATAATAAAGACATAGCTTCAAAGAACTCATCCAATGAATCTAATATGGGATCATCATTCTCTAAAAAGGAATGGGCCCAAGCCATAGGTTCACCTCTTAAAAAAGAGATCACAGAACAGACTTTAGATCTTTCAGTGAGATAAGATCTAGGTCTTAAAGCTATTAGAAGTTTGCAAGAATTCAAAAACTCTCTGTACTTTGATCTATCTCCATAAAAATTTTCTGGATTGCAGACAGCAGGATCGCTAGCCGATTGAAGAGCGGCATGAGGAAGATGACCTTGCATGTCTCTGACATAGGTTAATATTCTCTCGTTTGTAATCTGCAATTCTTGTAAACCCTGAGCAATTGTATCCACTCTATTTGTCAGGGCAGAAACTTGAGAGTTAATATCTGCTGGTTCCATTGAGGGGCTGGATTATTCTGTAATACTACTTTATTTGGAACTCAACTGCAGAAATTTTAATTCCAGTAACTGTTAGTTTTACCTCTTTTTGTTACTGATGTGGAGGAGAGGATACTGTAGCTTTAAACCTTCAAGCAGGATGTTAATTGCATGGAAAAAATAAGCCACTGATGATTTGCACAAGCCAAACAGTCCCAATTTAAGAATAGTGCAGAGAATGTATGCAGAGTTAGGTTTAGGTTAATAGTCGTCCCAGAGCGTTATTCGGTACACGGAAAATCAAAATAGAGCAGCTGGTAAGTTTTACAGTCACCTGTGCAATAATCCAGCCCTTTGAATCTGGCGCGGTCTTCCTATGTAGCGTGGAAGGACCGCGTCAGAAAAAAGGGGCGGGGCGAAGCTCCGTGAACCCGGAAGTGGGTTCTTTCGGCGAAAAGCACGGCAGGTATAACCTGACAAGGGGGTAAGACATCTAAAAGAGTGGATAAAAAAACACAAAAGGCAAGGGGGGGGGCGGGTGGGAGGAGGAAAAATGCATCTTCGCCTATATACCCAAAAATCCTTGCACCGGCCCTGCATAGTTTGCATTGTTGTCTACATACATGTGTACAGTTGAAGCTTTAGGCAGATCATTTATAAGTAATGTGAATAGTAGGGGGCTGTGTATGGAGCCTTAGGGAACACCACATATGAAACAATATTGTTCAGACTTAAATAGATTTGAATATCATGCTACTTTACCAAAATAACTCCTTTGTAATATAGCCAAAAATCAGTTGAGGGAAGATTCTTTTCACCCGCTGCGTGGTCACTACAGTATGCTGAGGGGAACCAAGAAAGAGTCCCTACTTCCTGCACCCAGAATGAGATCAACGCAAAAAGATCCTGAACCCTAAATGACAACATGGAATCAGGTCCTACACCTTGTGATGAAGTCATGGGTGCCTGAATAAAGCCATGGGAACCAGGACATTGCATCCTGATTAGGTCTTAGGCATGCTGTCCTGTTCTGGAGCCCCATGGATGGCAGCAAGACCCTTGACAAAACCATGGGTGGTGCTGTGGGTTGTAGTATCCTGCTCCCTGGATAGAGCTATGGAATTTAGTGTCACGTTCTGTTCCTCGCTGCGGATCATTCTGGCAATGGCTTCTGGTATCCAGTACTCTTTTTGCTGTCGTTGCTTGGTTTTTCTGGTTTTCTGGTCTATGTCTGGTTTTCTTTGTTGCTGGGATTTCTGGGTTCATTTCTGGAATCCATGCCTGGGATTCCCAGTCTCCAGGTTTCCTTTAAATGTTTGTTTTTTGTAACCACACCCGCTTGTTTCCACTTACCCTTTTGTTTCAGCTTGGACCTGCAGCAGTATTTCATCTCTCTGCCCTTTTTTGCAGGTAAGTGCTATTGTGGTATAGTGTGGTTATTTTAGTATACATTAGGCAGTGTAGGACCTGCCAGATATGGGGTACATTGGTGTTGTTGGCAGGCTTGTGCAATGTATGATCATATGGTGTGACTAAATCCCCATACTTTTCATAATTTTTTTTTTTTGTAAATATATTTTTATTGGCACATTTCGTGTACAGAAAGAAAAAGGCATAGCATTGAGACTCGCAGGTCTCCGTTGTTGTCTTGCGGTGTGTTTA